ACCCAAGTTGGCAATGACCACCAGATGGCAATCTGTCAACAGCCTGACGTATTTTTGCATTTATGGAGACTAATACTAATAATTCAATAATACACCTATGAATCAGGGTCTGGGCACTGTAGGTGATTACTAGCCTGCATAAATGGTAATTTCTGTTATTCAGACAGACCTTTTGGTTTGTATACTTGGCCAGTATGATAATTGATGGGTAGTTTGCATCCAGTTTATGGGTGCTGAGCCAGAATAATATTGAATTTAGGTGTATTTTATCATCATTTACTCCACTGAATTGGTTTGGACAAAAACAGTTGAATATTTTCAGTTTCTTTTCCTTTGTGTTTCACAGAAGAAAGCAAGTCATACAGAGTTTTAGAATTAAATGAGGGTGTACTGTATAAATGATGACAAAATTTAATTTTGGGAGGGGGGGGAACTTTGCCTTTTATATATAAAATTAATTAATTTTAATTAATTTTTTAAATTTTAATTCATGTATTTAATTTTCGCACTGTTATTGTATTTTATTTTCTATAGTTTATTTATTTATTTGTTGAATTGAATATAATTTTTTAGGGCTGCCAAAGTTAATTTGGTAGCTGGTATCATTTAAAAAAGTTTAACAGAGTACAATTTTTTTAGCACAGTCTGTCTAGTATTATTGATATCTAGTTGCAATGTCATGTTAAAATAATGTATTAGTTATTTTTTATTTTATATTAGTTAGTACTGAAGTAATAAAAATGTTTTCTAGTTTCATATTTAGTTGCACCATTTGTAGTATTTATTTATTAATTTTTTGCCAAATTATTTAGGCTTCTAAAGTTAATATGCTATTTTATAAAAAAATTTAAATAATATTTTATGCTATTAAACATATCAAAAGTTTACCAGCTAGCACATTAACAGTTATAAAGTAAAATAGAAAATTCTGTACGTACGTATTTCGTACGATACATTTTTTTTTTTTGATGAAAGTGTAAAGTGAAGCAAAGCCTGGAAAAAGTCGATATACTCTGACATCTGGTTCTTATCCTCGCGGTATCCTAAAGACGGTCTGGGTAATAGCGTTGGTTAAGCAGAAGCTAGTCTGTCTGAGGTTCCTCTGACAGCTGCAAACCCAACATGTTATTAGATGCCGAGAAAACACCACTGGAGTGCATCAGGAGCCCGGATCAGTTTAGCACAGCCACAGACGGTGACATTGATCGATTTCAGTCACATGGATGGATTTCTCCTCTCGCTCGGAGGATGGATTCTTATTACTGTAAATGGTGGAACACTTATCCCCACAGTCTGAACATACTGGTAGTTGCAGCAGGAGCGTACAGTTAAGAGACAATTTTCGGAGGAGAGCACTCTTCAAATTGGCTCTAAACAACATCCCACAAATCCAGCAGAAGGAATTGTAGAGAAATGCCACAGACAGGTTGAGAGACTATTAATTTCAAAAAGCAAAGTCTGCTTCCTCTCAGTGTGAGTTTTTCTTTACAAGCCAAAAGAAGCCGGAATTGCAACTGGAATTCATTACTGACCTATAGTCCTTAGTTAAATGGGATACTTGCATAAAAATCGTTTTCTGTTGCAGCGACGGATGTTTTTGAAAGTTTTGAAACTGTAAGTCGGTCATAAATATTGATTGTCTTTGAACTTACTGCATGATTAATTAGCCGAACCATGTGCGTTCAAGGTCACGCTGTAGAAAAGGAATTGCCGTGTACCGTGTTTGTTTCCCCTGAACAATTAGCAGTGTGAATTAAGGAGCGACAGAGGGTTGTTTACCACAGGTAATCAGTCATAAACGCCCCTGTGCACAATGACCTGTTTCGTTTAAAAGCTACCTGCTGAATTATATATGAGGAAAGTTAAACGCTCAGACTGGGCGTTCTACTCCAGAAAATACCTTCACGTGGGAAGTCGGCCTCTCTGGGTCTTTTGTACTTTTATTTTGAGATGTACAGCAGTGGTGTCTTTTCTAAGCAGGTGTAAGATGTTTATTTGCGGTACGCGTTTGAACATGGGGGCTGCTCAGCGGGAGGCCACTGGCATTAACATTAGAGCAGCGCAACGCTCTTCTGACAGGCCTCTCTCTGCAGCGCAGTAATTACAAAGCGGAGAAGGGATTATTGTTACAGATACTTTGACGCAGGTAAACCGCCTCCCGATGATGCCATGAAAGTTTAGCAGAGGCTTCTTTAATTAAGTCTTTTTGAAGTGGCTCTGTTTTGATTGTTATCACTACATTATGAGTCCTGACAGGCTTGCCAAATATACAGCAACGCCGCTGACAGCTTCAAAACAGGGAACATGTCCTTTCCCTTGTCACTTGGGGAAAAATAGTATTTTTTTAATCTTATTTCCGTTTTTTTTTTCATGTTGCTTCCTGTCTGCACTTACAGAGACAAAGTTTTCAAATTCTAGTGATGTGATTAATATTTGCAAATATTTGCATGTGTCTACATACTGTATATCTAGAGAGTCCCTGAAAGTTTCAAAGGACTTTTGTAGCCATGAGCTGCATGCACCAGCAGAAATATAAATATGTCTAGTGTATTCAAATGAAACGACTTAAAAGGAGCAGTTGTCCAGTGCTATTATAGTTTGTTGTGGCCTAATTTCTAGGGAAGCTGTGAAAAACAGCTTCTCTCTCTTTCAGTGCATCAAGGTGTAAAGGATTCATAAATGCCCTGCTGTGGGTGTTTCACTGACAGGCACATGGGATAAAATAGAGGTTTGACACTAATAATCAAGATTGATTTTCTCGATCATTAGACTACAATAAAAACATAATCATATAATTGTAGTCCATTTAGTTAATATTATTAATTTAAATATAATATTTTCATAATAATAATAATAATAATAATTATTATTATTATTCCAAAGTTGTTTTACAGTCTAAATGGTCTTTATATCTTAAACATATTTTTCATATTTATTTTTTAATATTATAATGTTAGTGTTATAATTTATGTTAATTTATAAATTGCTTTTATAGTTTAAAGAAAAGTATTATTATTATTATTATTTATGGTAGTTGCTTTGCTGTCTAAATAGTCTTCATTTTAAATATATTTTCATAGTTATTTTTAATATTATAATTTATGTTAATAAATTCATTTTATAGTTTAAAAATATTTTATTTCTCTTTATACTAAGTTGCTTTGCAGTCTAAATGGTCTTCATTTTTAATTATATTTTTCATATTTATTTTTAATATTATAATTTTAATTCATAAATTAATTCCATAATTTTCAAGAAAATTATTATTATTATTATTAATGCAAAGTTGCTTTGCAGTCTAAATGGTTTTTATTTCTTAAATATATTTTTCATGTTTATTTTTAATATTATACTTTTATTGTTATGATTTATTTTAGTTATTTAATTAATTGCATCATTTTAAAGAATTTTTTTTCTTATTATTATTATTATTATTTATGCAAAGTTGCTTCGCAGTCTAAATGGTCTTCATTTTTAAAAAATATATATTTGTCACATTTATTTTTTATTTGAATATCTGTAGACATATCTGTCACATTGATAATCTCATGCTCAGACTCGATTTACTGCCTAACAGTAAAAAGGCTTAGTCACTGTTTCTTTGTCAGAGCAGCCAGTGAACAGAAGACAGTTGCCATAGCAGCATGGGTAAACAAACAAATGTGGTACCATGGAATGCTTCAAAATATTTACAATGGAGTAACCCCTTTCAGTCACAGGCGGGATAATCTGGAACTTTCTGCATAGCACAAATTGTTCTCAGCTGGAAGGTAGTTCTCTCCCGTGGGTCAGTCCTCAGCTGCACAACTGTATTTAGATCACAAGACCTCTGTTCCTTCACTGGCTGGAGAAAACCATTGTCCAAAGCAGGAAAGAGCACTTTCTTCATTGAAATCCTTGAATTAAGGTTGATAAACCAAATTTAGATTTTGAGCAGCCTATAGTGTTTGGGGTTGAACATTTTTTGATCTTGCCATCCTTGTTTTTTCCCTGTGAACAGAATAGACTCTCGACTCGTTTTGGGGTCACCGTCAACCAAAATCGTTAAGGAAATATGAAGAAATGAAATGTAAATTTTTAACACATGCCTAAAAACAAACCTAAAAATCATGTACAGTCTAATGTGTATTAATGACAAATGTTGAAAGGTTTAAAACCCTGCGGGAAATCCAATTGCATGTGATTTCATAATGCCACTGCACATTAAAGATAGAGACAATTTCTGATTAGGCTCAAAGGTTACATTCATGTTGATTAATAACCGAGACATGTTTCCCTAGCAACCGCTACGTGTGTTGTCACTGGCCCCGGGCTATACCCAAGTCACCCGAATACATCCTGTGATTAGCGACGACTGAGACATCCAACCACATTTCCAGTAATAGCCTCATTCTGAGTTGTATTTCCTATCAATCTATCAGAAGCCTCTAGGTCCCAAAACCTCTTTTCGTCGAGGCCACTTGAGCAGATTAAAGAAGGATTCAATATGGAAGCATTTAGGTTATTAAATATCTCTTGTAGAGACTCTTCTAAACTAATTGCAGTGAAGTCTTTTCACTTCTGAAAATACATTAATGCTGCATTCGTGACAATATGTGGACGTAAACATTCTTGCTGTCTGTTGCCAACATGCTACTGGAATAACACACCGGCTAAAAATGCTGTCACACTTAAAATCACATTCACCTGTCAAAAAAACAAAACCTGCAACTTGGACCCCACCTTGAAGCTTTTGTTCCACCTGATTGAAATGAACGTTTGCACAATGACTAGCATTTCACATCTGACGTCAATGTGGCTTAAGAAAAAAGAACAAAATGTACTTTTTCTTTTGCTTCTGCCTGAGAGTGTCTATCTATCTATCTACCTATCTATCTATCTCTATAGACTTATAATACCATCGTTCATTTAGAAAGACATTTGTAATGTCAGTGATTTGAAACTGGCAAACATATTTTACAGTCTAGTCTAGAAAGAAAAGAAAGCAATTTTCCACTCACCATGCCATGGTTTAGCCACTGAGGTATAAAGCTGTCCAGGAGTCTTGGATATACCAAATCTCTGTCATACACGTAAAGCGTCCAGAACATAGTCACCACAAACTGCAAACCAAAAACAAAGAAAATACTGATAATGAATAATCCGATCACAAAAAAAAAAGAAAAGCAAAAAAAAAAAAAAAACCATTCTGTCACCATATTAAATATTGTATAATATATTTTTTATAGTAACTTTTTAAAATGAATTCCTTAATATTAATGAAATGCATAGAATATGTGTGGTATGCGATTTTATTTACATTTTGTTTATATTTATTATAAATAAAATGTGTATATCCACACCTGTGACTGAACAGCTTTCTGCTTTCAATGTTTTTTGTTGTTGTTGTTGTTTTTTTCAAAATAATGCTGCAAATACAGGGGGCATATCATCAAGTCAGGTCACCTTTATTTATATAGTGCTTTATACAAAACAGATTGTGTCAAAGCGGCTCTGCAGTATTAAACAGGAAAATAGTGTCGATAGTGCTAGAGGACAATAGTAAACATTCAATTTTCCAGTTAAAGTCAGTTCATCATTGCTTCAGTGATGTCATCGTCCAGCTCAGTTCAGTTCAAATAGTATCTGTGCAATCAAGTCGAAAATATTGACAGAAATGAAGTGTCCCCAACTAAGCAAGCCAAAGGCAACAGTGGCAATAAGCCAAAACTCCATCGGTGACAGAAATGGAGAAAAAAAAAACCTTGGGAGAAACCAGGCTCAGTCTGGGGGCCAGTTTTCCTTTGGCCAGACGAAACCAGCATGGCATGGTCTAATTACAAATGGTAACGTCATGCACATGCATATTACGTGTTCAGTCCACAGTAGGGCTGCACGATAAATCGCATGCGATATTTAACGCGCAGCGCCAAACCACGTTCATATTCGCGCGATTTTTTGCGCAGCTCATCAGTGAACAACGGCTCTGTTTAGTTAATGCTGCTCAATGTGAAAGCACGCAGGTGATGGAGATTTACCGCTGATTACAGAACCGGCTTTACTGATAAGATGCGCGTTAAACATCGCATGCGATTTATCGTGCAGCCCTAGTCCACAGGTATATGTGCAGCAGGGTTGCCAGGTTTTCACAACAAAACCCGCCCAATTGCTACTCAAAAATAGCCCCGAACTAGCCCAATTGCGTTTTGAGGGGTGTCCCCCAGTAAAACTTGTGTTCCTGGGGGTAAAATACGTATTTTTTGGTGGGGAACCCCTGGTAAAATCCGCATTTCAGGGACAAAATATTATGTTTTTGGGGTCACTTCAACCCGCGGACATGAAAAACAACCCACGGTAACAGTGTTAAAGTAGCCCAATTCCGCTGGAAAACCGCAGATTTGGCAACACTGGTGTGCAGGAAAGTTGTGTTTTTAAAAAAAGTGATATCGCCAACTACTGGCCTGGCATGCACAATACAGCATTCATGGATCCGTGTGAACGGGGATTGTTTTGACAATGTTGTCATCTGCACTCAAAACTTTTTAGTTTTTAGTACACTGTTGTCATGTAAACATACCCATAGTGTGGGATAAACAGTACAGCAAAATCTCTATACTATTGAAGCACTTCTATTGTCACATGGCCAATACTAACCATTTCTAATCCTAAACATGCTTAAAGGGGTCATATGACATTGCTAAAAAACAACATTATTTTGTGTAGTTGGTGTAATGAAATGTGTTTATGCGGTTTAAGGTTAAAAAAACACATTATTTTCCACATACTGTACATTATTGTTTCTCCTCAATGCCCCGCCTTTCTGAAACGCGTCGATTTTTACAAAGCTCATTGGTCTGAAAAGCGAGGTGTGCTCTGATTGGCCAGCTATCCAGTGCGTTGTGATTGGCCGAATACCTCAAGCATGTGACGGAATTGTTACGCCCCTTACCATACTGTGATGTCGTGTCCCGGTGCGACGAGACAAAACCAACACTCCAAAGAGAAAGGAAAACTTGAAATCGCATCATATGACCCCTTTAAAGGACATTTCTGTGATTATTCTTCAGCTTTATGGCTAAAAACCAACAATGCTAAAGCTTTTTCCCATGATTATATGATTCAGCACAGAACAAGCATTAGAAAAGCAAATAATTCTTGCATGTTATCAGGTGCTAGCCATCTCAATTATGGACTTTTCTGAAATGAGCTAAAATGAGGAAACTGCAACTACATTTTTATCTTCAGAGACTTCATAACTTTTTAAAGTGGGGACATAATTACTGATTATAATGACTTATACTGTCCTTTTTCCGCGTTGCGTTGCATCGTGCCGCATAAACATAAAACCATGTCTGCATTTGTGATCGGAGAAACGACAAACAACAAGCGCTACTCTACACTGCTCAAAACTCACGTTTGAATCATCAGTGGCAAATCCATTACATATGAAAACGTACTTACAGGCTGTGAGTCAGCATTATTTGTCAGGGACTTTTCTGAAATGAGCTAAAATGAGGAAACTGCAACTACATTTTATCTTCAGAGACTTCATAACTTTTTAAGACCTCTCACTCCCTGCCATGACTTAAAATTGAGCCCATTCCTCACCCCCAGATTCCCAGCAGGTCTTCCGGCAGACTGCCTCATGCCGGCACATCTCATTATGCCGAAAAGTCTAACTTGTCTAATATCCTCTTTGATTCCCTCATCTACAGGATGCAGTCTCTGCGCAAAACCATGACAAGCACTAAAACCAGCCATGAGCACAGCGAACCAACACACAGAGCTCATATTTTCATATCAGCATACCATAATTAATCCCTAAGAGCTGACTTCTTTTTTCTGGCTTTTATCCAACACTTACTTGGAGCTACAGATGCCTTCTGTGAAAAAGGACAGTGTTAAGATGATGAGGACATCATAATCCCTAAGAGCTGACTTCTTTTTTCTTGCTTTTATCCAACACTTACTTGGAGCTACAGATGCCTTCTGTGAAAAAGGACAGTGTTAAGATGATGAGGACATCACACACGCTGTTAAAAACAGGCACGTTGGTGTGGAGCATGCAGGCCTCGTGAAAGAGCGTTTGAAGTCCCAGGCTCTCCGAGGAGGAATTTCACTTCCCTTGCTGTAATCCTGAACTGCTCAAACGTATTTGCATTAATGGGCCTCATTTATGGGTGTGACAGATTTCTGTTTGCTTTGGGTTTCTCCGATTATTTTGCAGGATTCTTGTTTCCAGTAAGAGCTTGGATGATGGTCACTGTACCCAAATAAACAGGCGGCACTATGAGGATAGGCCTTGTGAAAGGGAACTGTTGTGCTTTTGAAGCATATTTCAAGTAAACGTCGGGCTTCATCTTGAAAGCGCAAGTTAAATAAGTTCATTGCCGGACAGGTGGTTTATTTGGATTTGCCCGTTCTCATTGGGCACTGTGGATAAACCACATAACAAGCTCCAAACCTTCTCTATTATCCAGCCAAGCTAGCTGGAGGCCCCATCCCTAGGCCTGACACACTGTTTCCAACTTATTTTAACATAAGAGCGGATGTGGCCATTTGTAACTTCCAGTGTCATCAACTTACAGTTATTTTAGCTGTACAAAAACAGTCTATTATGCAGCTTGATATTACAATCTGGTGTTTGTTATCATTTTAATGTATTATTGTAATCATAAACACTTTAGTTCTAGTTATTTACCTATAGAAACTAATGAATCAGAAGTCACATTCACAGAAAACAGCTTACTTCTTCTGTGTTGCAAAATAATGTGGATAGACTAAGGTCGTTCACCCAAAAATAAATATACTATAAATTTACTCACCCTCAGGCTATTCAAGATGCAGATGAGTTTGTTTCTTCATCTGAACAAATTTGGAGAAGTTTAGTTTTGCATCACTTGCTCACCAATGGAACCTCTGCAGTGAATGGGTGCCGTCAGAACGAGAGTTCAAACAGCTGATAAAAACATCACAATAATCCACAAGTAATCAACACAACTCTAGTCCATCAGTTAATGTCTTGGGAAGTGAAAAGCTATATGTTTGCAAGAAACAAATCCATCAAGATGTTTTTTTCTTTCAACTAACTTCAATCTCATCTAAGGGTTGGGATTGAGTCCTCTCTCCATAATATTGCTTTCTTCAGTGAAAAAGTGGTCTTGTCTGAATCAGGACAGAAATATGCACAGATCAGGCACCATTTACAAGTGAAAACAGTCCAAACAGAAATATGTTGGATGTATTTTGATATGAGAGAACAACAGGGGATGGATTTCTTCACTGGAGGAAGCGGTGTTATGAATTATGGCCAGAAGCAACAGTTTAAAGTTAATTAATGATGGCTTTAATGATGAATTTGTTTATCATAAACATGCAACGTTTCGCTCAACAAGATGTGAATTGATGGACTGAAGTCGTGTGGATTACTTCTGGATTATTGTTATGTTTTTATTAGCTGTTTGGACTCTCATTCTGACGGCACCCATTCACTGCAGAGGATCCATTGGAAAGCAAGTGATGTAATGATACATTTCTCCAAATCTGTTCCTTCATCTACATCTTGGATGGCATGGAGTTGAGCTAATTTTCAGCAAAGTTTTATTTTTTGTGAACTATTCCTTTAAGCAGATGGCACAAAATTTGATCCCATTGTATCATTGAGTCTACAATGCATAGTTCACCCAAAAATTAAAATTTGCTGTTAATTTACTCACCCTCAGGCTATTCAAGATGCAGATGAGTTTGTTTCTTCATCTGAACAAATTTGGAGAAGTTTAGTTTTGCATCACTTGCTCACCAATGGAACCTCTGCAGTGAATGGGTGCCGTCAGAACGAGAGTTCAAACAGCTGATAAAAACATCACAATAATCCACAAGTAATCAACACAACTCTAGTCCATCAGTTAATGTCTTGGGAAGTGAAAAGCTATATGTTTGCAAGAAACAAATCCATCAAGATGTTTTTTTCTTTCAACTAACTTCAATCTCATCTAAGGGTTGGGATTGAGTCCTCTCTCCATAATATTGCTTTCTTCAGTGAAAAAGTGGTCTTGTCTGAATCAGGACAGAAATATGCACAGATCAGGCACCATTTACAAGTGAAAACAGTCCAAACAGTTCTAAAGAAATATGTTGATGTATTTTGATATGAGAGAACAACAGGGGATGGATTTCTTCACTGGAGGAAGCGGTGTTATGAATTATGGCCAGAAGCAACAGTTTAAAGTTAATTAATGATGGCTTTAATGATGAATTTGTTTATCATAAACATGCAACGTTTCGCTCAACAAGATGTGAATTGATGGACTGAAGTCGTGTGGATTACTTCTGGATTATTGTTATGTTTTTATCAGCTGTTTGGACTCTCATTCTGACGGCACCCATTCACTGCAGAGGATCCATTGGAAAGCAAGTGATGTAATGATACATTTCTCCAAATCTGTTCCTTCATCTACATCTTGGATGGCATGGAGTTGAGCTAATTTTCAGCAAAGTTTTATTTTTTGTGAACTATTCCTTTAAGCAGATGGCACAAAATTTGATCCCATTGTATCATTGAGTCTACAATGCAGAAGAGTGAATATCGGCGAGACACATATACCACTAATAGGTGCCAGGAAATGACCTGGGCTAAGGCTAACAAAGTATGCATATCACTCAAACACAGCAGAGCCTGTTTCCCAATATTAACGTCAGCACTAATAATGCTCATTGTGATGGCTGTAAGCTGAGCCTCATGCCCAGCTCTTAGACTGAGGGCCAGGGCCAAGTCAAGCATCTATTTTGTGTTTGTATCATGGCTGTCTGGCTGCTGAGTTTTTTACAAGCTAACAAGGAAACCTCCTCTGTCTGGCATCTCGTTAAGTCCCGCTGAGAATCTGCAACCTACAAATACCCACAGAATGATGCAATGGTCAAAGCTGGAAGTATCTTTATGTATATTTAAAATATTATATTTAAAAATACAATACTGTATTTAATATTTATTTATTGTTATTCATTTTTGTTTTATGTTTTGCAGCATTTCCCCAAAAAACAGTAAGGAAAATGTGGAAAAAGCATTTAGTCTAATCGGTTAAAAACAGAAATATTGCAAAATATTATTACAATCTAAAACACCTGTTTTCTTTTTTAAATATATTTTAAAATATAATTTATTCATTGATGGAAAAGCTGATTTTTTAGCTGCAATTACTCCAGTCTTCAGTGACACATGATCCTTCAGAAATAATTCTAATATCCATCACAGGAATAATTTAATCAAATAAATGCAGCCTTTGTGAGCATTAAAAAAATCTTATATTCTAAACTTTTTACCTGTAGTGTATTTGCACACTATAGAATTATTTTTTTATTTTTACACTCTGCTTTGTTTATTATTTAGCCATATTAGCCAGTTATTATTAGTGATTCCTTGCAATGTAAGTGGAATGCCTGTGTCTCTTTCATTAAAATGAAATGAGCAGAGTCCATTTTCTTTCCACTTAAGGTTTAAGTCACTTTGACACTGTCATTTGACATCTTAAACTCCCTACTAACATTGTGCCATGCAATATTAAAGGCCCTTTAGCCAGCCAGAGACAAAGCAAGACATTTGTGATCAAAATTTTAATATTTTCCATGAAATTATCTGATGGTCATCACAGACACACATAGGCCTGTCACGATAACAACTTTTTGTTGTGCGATATATTGGCCCAGAAATAATTGCGATAAGCGATATTATTGTCATTTTAAAGACCATTTTATGCCAC